CTTGTGTTTGATCAGTATCATGCTATAATCGTCCTAGGTTTAAAATACAGGAGTATTTTGCCCCGAGAGTAAGTTTGTGTCTCCAGCTCCTCCTTGAACTGACAGACGACGTCTTCTAGCTCTGAAAGGCCATGTAAGCTGCACAAGGATGTTAGCTTGAAAATGGGCAAAGCGCGTGGACAACATGCAAGCTGTGTGACAGTGCTTTATTCCAACACTTCAGCTCATCTTCATGCAAGGCAGTATTTCTCCCTAGTTCAGCTTTTACTGAATTTTGTCACAAGAAAAGCACACAAATCCCAGCTTTGCACTCTTGTTCTACATACAGATTGAGGGAGCAATCTGTTTTCACACATGCAGTTAGAGCTCTTCTTCCTTCATAAATGCCCAGAAAGCTACTTGCATTTAAACAGTCAGGCTGTGCTCCTCTGGCAGACAAGGGAAGGGGAAGGTATGCTGGACCCTGCTGTACATACCTGAGCCCTCCTTTGGGCAAAATAAAATACATCAGGGCCATCCCTGATGTACCAAGAGTTAGCAGAATGAGCAGCTGTTGCAGCAATAGGGACTGATTCAGAAAGCACAGCTGTTTATTCCTCACAGACACGGTACCCTTTGGGCATGGGAAGGACAATCTACAGAATATTGGCATCACACTGGCAGCATACCGGAGCCTCAAAATAAGTTGCTCCTTCAGCAGCAAAAACAAAGTCTGTCTTTGAGGTCTTTCATCAAATTTCTACAGAATTCACCAGCTGACTGCGAGGCTGTTTGGCAGGAAGCGATGGTGGCGTGCAGGGCACAGAGGACACTCTGATTGCAAAAGTCCTCTATCCTTAGGAAACAAGGGTGAAAAGTGAGGGCATGTGATAAGCCCGTAACATGTACTCTAATCAACAGTATCACCTCAACAAATTGGTAAAGTGGGCTGGAAAAAAAGATGAAATCCAATGTAGACAAGTGTCAGGCACTACATTTAAGCAGGAACACTTATATGGACCACTGTAATGCTGGATTGGGAACACCTAATGTTAATGCAGGCCGTAGCACAGCAAAGGCCAAACACTGCTCAACTCCATAACATGAAATGGGAAATGTAACCAGCACTGGAGCCTGTGTGATTCATGAGCTGACTACTGCATTGGGTTTTCCTTCCTATCTTTCTTCAACAGCAGCACTAAATGGACAGAAACCTCATGGGTGCAATTGGAGGTCCCGAAAACATAAGACAAGTAGTAAGACAACTTAAAGAATTAAGATCCTATAAAGACTGAGAGGTGACATGATAACAATATCTGAGGATGTTAAGGAGGATGGGAATCATGTATAATCTCATGCTTGAGAACATAAGCGCTAAAGACTCAAAATGATGTGTCTTGATTAATGCCCATATTATTCTAGTGAAGAGCCTTCTTTAAGTAGACAAAGTCTTTCTCACTATTTTCTAGCCTGGCAGTTAGAAATACTTGTCTTTCTCTCCAGTTATTTTGGTCATAGAAGCCTGGCACTCATTTTCATTAAACACATTTGCAGAAGATATTTTCCAAAATACTTACATGCCTCAATGTATTTTCCAAAAGCCAGCCTACATTATACATATACATCTCCTATACAGTCTGCAGCTTTGATCTCTTTTTCCTGTCCAGAGCCTGCTGATTTAAATAGGAGCTATGGATCTTACCTTGGAGGATACGGAGCGCATGTTTTCTGGGTCTCCTTCTAGAAAGGCATATTTTGGCTTAAGGCTACTGGAAGGGTAGATGTAATGTTTGGATTCCTTTACATCTGA